CTACTGTAATACCAACTAGACAAACAATTACTCTTATATTTTAGTTCTTGCGTCAAAGTAAGGTGAGAAAAGATTCTGAAACTTAGACATTAAATTATTTTGATTCAAAGTGTAATTTTTTTTTTAACATCTGATTCATTCATTAGTTCAAATAACATACAAGAGTTGATATGTTCTTAGTACATCAATAATGAACAAATTCAAATACACATTCATAAATACATAACCAATCACTAAAAATAACGATGAAGAAGTGTAATCTTTTAAGAAAAATTGTTTGTTATATTATACTTCAGGAATTTTTTACGTATATAAGTCAACATAATTTTTTTTTTAAAACAAAAAAAATCATGTAAGTAAAATGAATTGGTTCAGGCAATCAAAGTGAACATGAATTGGTTTTGATTCTTTTGTTCTTTTGATACAAAAGTATCTTGTAAATAAGTTTATCCTAGAATGGGTGGTAAGCCCAAGTATTTATCTACTTTCTTATTTTTTCAAAAAACAAATCTGAATAATTGGTTAAATTAGTTAAAAGCTCGCGCGCGCACACACATATTTACCGTCATTGCGCATCTTTCGTTCTTCCTCAAAGATCTAAAATAAATCAAAATTAGTAAACAATTTGTTCAGCAAAAGTTAATGGTCGTGAATTTATCATTTCTCTATCTCTAACTCCAATCACAATGGCACATTTTCTCAAACCTCGTCGTCTTGTCCGTGAAGCAAACCTTGAAACGTAACCCTAACCCTAAATCCTCTTTTTTCTCTCTCTCTTCCAAATCAAAATGATACAGAAGCTCGTATGGCTCTTGATCGCCTCTCTCGCTATTATCGTCACTTTAGTTCAAGGGAAAACCGATAATCAAGAAGGTGAAACATGTTTTTAATCGATGAATCGATTAAACGGATCTATAAACTAATTTGAAAACTTTTGGCAGTTTCTGCGTTGAATGTGATGTTCACAAGCTTAAATTCGCCATCGAAACTCAAAGGCTGGAAATCTAATGGAGGCGATCCCTGTGGTGATTCTTGGGAAGGCGTAAAATGCAAAGGCTCTTCGGTCTCCGAATTGTAATCATTCCTCTCAATTTGATTAAGAACCCTAATTTCAGAAACTTAACTTGCATCACAAGCTATCTTCTTGCACCTTCTTTTGTTCACAGACAGTTATCAGGATATGAGCTAAGTGGATCCTTGGGTTATCTACTAAGCAATCTCAAATCTCTTACTACTTTGTGAGAATCCTCATTTAATCATCTCTTTTCGCTTAGTCAAACAAAATTCAGAAGATAACTGTTTTCGTTTTAAATTCTGGTGATAGTACAGTGATCTCAGCAAAAACAATCTCAAAGGAAACATACCTTATCAACTCCCACCCAACATTGCAAATCTGTAAGTTCATACATTTGTTTTTCAATTACTTGTTACAGAAGAAACAAATCGTAATCTCGGCATTGATACAGAGACTTCTCTGAGAATGAACTCGATGGAAACGTGCCTTACTCGTTATCTCAAATGAATCATCTCCAAAGCATGTGAGTAAAACCAAAGAAATTTAAATAAGTATGTATCTGGTATTAATTAGGGTTTATGAGATTTGTTTATTTTAATCTCTGAAATGCAGTAATCTTGGACAAAACAAGCTCAACGGAGACCTACCAGATATGTTTCAGAAAATGTCCAAACTCGAAACTCTGTAGGTACAATTCCTTTAGTTATGTTTTTCTTAATCCAAAAACTCTTTTTTAAATCATTAAATTTGAGACCTAACACATACCCAAATTTATGTATGCAGGGACTTATCTTTTAATAAACTCTCTGGTAAATTACCTCAGAGTTTCGCTAATCTCACAAGCCTAAAAAAACTGTAAGGAATAACAAACAAATCTTTTACTTAGGATTTTTGTTCTTCTTCCAAATGCTAAATTTGATTGTCTTGTTATTGTACAAGACACTTGCAAGAGAATCGATTCACAGGCGATATAAACGTTCTCAGAAACCTTGCCCTCGATGACTTGTAAGCATCGAGAAACCTCTAATTAGGTTTCAACACAAAATCCAAAAACTCAAATTAAAAAAATTCGTTTTCTTCTTATACGATTACAGAAACGTCGAAGATAACCAGTTCGAAGGATGGATACCTAACGAGCTAAAGGAAATAGACAGTTTACTGTAAGTAAAACAGGTTGCTTGCTACACAAGAAACAAGACCGATGATTTTGTAACATGTTCCTCTGTTTTACTCTGTTTTTTAAAGAACTGGAGGCAATGACTGGTCAACTGAAACTGCTCCTCCACCACCTCCGGGTGTTAAATACGGTCGTAAATCGGGTTCTAACGACGGAGGTATAACCTCCGTGAACGGAGTAATGATCGCCGGAGCAAGCTTAGGAGTTCTTGTGTTAATCGCGTTATTAATCTGTCTCGTCTCCAAGAAGAAATCATCTCTCTCTCCTCATTTCATCGATGAAGACATTAGTCATCACACTCCAAAGTTCAAATCTCTTACCTCGCATGGATCTGCACAAGAGCTTCGCGTCGATTTTGGCAACGATTACAAAGGTATATAAGACTGTTAGACCTAACTTGTTTTGCAAGTAACTGAATCGAGAGGAGTTTATATTGTAGGTGGGAAATCTGGAGATTCAGATGATGAAAATATGCAAGGGATTGGATCAAAGAGACTAAAGCATTCGGTTTCATCGCGTGTGATGTCTTTCAGCGATCACGAATTCGAGAATAGGCTCAACGCGAAACGAACCACTTCGACTCGGTCCGCTGCGGAATTCGAGCTCTCTGTTCTGCAAACCGCAACAGCTAATTTCTCACCTGGAAATTTACTCGGCGAAGGCTCAATTGGACGGGTTTACAGAGCCAAATATCCCGATGGACGCGTAAGAACTCTATCTAACGTGTTTCACAAGAAACAGAACATCACAGCTCAGTCCACACTATCTGATCAATCTTTCTTTTTGATACAGATATTAGCGGTAAAAAAGATCGATTCGTCGTTGTTTGATTCGGGTAAATCAGAAGGAATAACGCCGATTGTGATGAGCGTCTCGAAGATTAGGCATCAGAACATAGCAGAGCTAGTAGGTTATTGCTCAGAGCAAGGTCACAACATGTTAGTCTACGAATACTTCAGGAACGGCTCACTTCACGAGTTTCTCCATTTATCAGATTGTTTCAGTAAACCTTTGACTTGGAACACAAGAGTCAGAATCGCCTTAGGAACTGCTCGAGCCGTCGAGTAAGATCTTAAATAAAGAAGAAACACAAACACAAACGCTCTTTACATAACTTCTTTATGACCATATTTAATTGTTTTGTTTTTGTGTAGGTATCTACACGAAGCATGCTCACCACCTGTGATGCATAAGAACATCAAGTCTTCTAACATTTTGTTAGACGCAGATCTCAACCCTCGTCTCTCAGATTACGGACTCTCAAAATTCTATCTTGTGAGCATTGATCTCTCTTTAATTGTTTAGAAATTTGGATTGAGTTTAAGAGAATTGAAATTGAATATTTGTAACAGAGAACGAGTCAAAACCTAGGAGAAGGATACAATGCACCAGAAGCAAAGAACCCTTCTGCTTATACTCCTAAGAGTGATGTCTACAGCTTCGGCGTCGTGATGTTAGAGCTTCTCACCGGTCGAGTTCCATTTGACGGGTTAGTTCTATTTTTTTTTAGGTCATATGCGAACCAAGTATAGGCTTGCGGCCTTCAAATTCATTGTGCAAAACACTCTTTTTCTCTAGTAGAGAAATTGTGGTTTTCTAAAACTCATGACCGGCTCTGCCTAACAATCTTCGTGTAAGATACATACTTTATTCTTTGTCCTTAATAATTTGGTTTTTTTTTTTTGGGTTGTAATATAAACAGAGAGAAGCCAAGGCCGGAGAGATCGTTGGTGCGGTGGGCTACACCGCAGCTTCACGACATAGAGGCATTGTCGAATATAGCGGATCCAGCTTTACATGGCCTTTACCCACCAAAGTCATTGTCAAGATTTGCCGACATTATAGCATTATGTGTACAACTGGAACCGGAGTTCCGACCACCGATGTCGGAAGTTGTAGAAGCACTTGTACGGATGGTTCAACGGTCAAGTATGAAACTTAAGGATGATCTTTCTTCGTCTTATCGAGCTCACGACGATTATGATTACTAGAGTTAATAAGAAAAGTAAGTAGCCAAAGACAAGATAATTGTTTATCAGTTTTTGATCTTTTTTTGTCCGTGTATGTATATTACTTTGCTGGATAAAAACATTCATCTGAATAAGTTACTTTTGTAGTGTTACATTTTAATATATGTGTTGTTTTCTTGTTGCTTCTGTTAGAACTTTCTCAAATTCATCTTCTTCTTCAAGACATTTATAGTTGATTTAGAAATTGACCGTTTCCTCGAATTCAATCAGTGTAAGTTATAGATCAAACAAGACATGTGAATTTGTTCACAACGACCACAACAATGTGTGGATTTTGTCCAATCATTCTTATTTCCTTGGTCGAACGAATAGTTAAAGTCACACAC